TTCTTTTCTTTAAAAGAAAAAAAAAATCCATTACTGAGACGTCTAGCCGGTTGGAGAAAAAAATGTAACTAGGATGATTTAAATTATTTTTTTAAATCCTTTATATTACCTTCGCTTTTATCGTGGCAAAATCTTCGGAAGGCTATTGGACCCACTTCCTGTCAAGCTATCTATCTGAAACTTGGCACATAGACTCGATGCCGATGACAAGACATTTTTTCAAATATTCAGCCCAACCTAGTTGAAATAATTTGTTGAAAATAATATGCGGTGTTAAAGCGTGTGGGTCATTAGAGTATTAATATAGTTCGTGGGCGTGAAAAATTGGCAGTTGCCAGCCGTGGGGGAAAAAAAGGGGACGGATGAGCACTAATTGGGATTCTTATAAAGCTAATTACTTGCAGGCATGTTTTGTCAAATTTTCAGCCCTGCCTCCATTGCTCGATGTTACATTTTATACAGGATTTATACGAAATCGTAAGTTTTTTTTTAAGGGTTGCTTATTTTTAACATGATTTCCTTGAATGACTTTTATTATCTACTAGATCACAGTTTGATTTCACACCGCAAGTAACGGGGTTTCAATACCTTTTAGGACCGATACCTGAGATATTGGCGCGACAGTACCTCATAGATCTGCTAAAAAATGGTATAAATTTTATTTATAAGTGATTTTTTAAGAAGCATTTTATTTCATATCGGACATGCAATTATTCCACACACACAAAAAAATGGATAAGAGTAAATTATTTTATATGCCCAGCCTCTGGGACTGTCTGGAAGTCTTGCTTCCTGTACTGTTCAACATCGTGAATATTAGCCTTCAGTCTGCTACAGTCCCACGTTTCTTCAAGACAGCGGTCGTTAAGCCTCTGCTTAAAAAAAGTGGTCTGGACCCAAAAGACTGCAATAATTTTCGCCCGGTCTCCAACCTGCCCTTTGTATCTAAGATTCTTGAGAGAGTTGTGTCACAGCAGCTTGTGCAGCATCTAAACACGTATGACTTACTTGATAAGTTTCAATCTGCATATCGATCTGGGCACAGCAGTGAGACAGCACTGCTCCGTGTTATGAATGATGTTCTTTGTAGTGCTGACCGTGCATGGTGATCTGACAATTTTGGTTCTGTTGGATCTCAGTGCTGCCTTTGATGTGATCGACCACGAGCTTCTTCTGTCAAGACTTCTGAATGTGGCAGGAATTACTGGAACTGCAATTCGCTGGTTTTCTTCTTATCTGACTGACAGGACTCAGCGTATTGTAGTTAAGCAGCCATCTTCAAAGGACACTTCCGTTACCTGTGGTGTGCCACAGGGCTCAGTTTTAGGACCTATTCTGTTCTCCATGTACACTAGCCATGGAGAAAAAAAAATATTGAAAGTCCTGGTATTTCCCGCAAAATATTTGCAGACGACACAGAACTATACACGTTTTTCCGCCCTGAACTCTGGGAGTGTGCTGCTGCTGTTCAGGCTGTCGAGGATTGCTGTCTTGCTGTGAAAGATTGGATGTCATCAAACAGATTAAAATTAAATGATTATATGACAGAGGCAATTATTTGTAGTTCAGACGCCAATCTTCGGAAAGTTACCATTGCATCAATAAAAGTTGGTGAATCAGAGATCCTTTTGTCCTCGACTGTCAGAGACCTTGGTTTTTATATTGACAGTAAACGTAGTATGATTCCCCATATCAGTTCTGTTACCAAGGCATGCTTCTGTCATCTGCGTGCCCTGGGTCAGCTGCGTCCTCAACTCAATAGGAGAACAGCCAATGCTGTAGCAGTAACTCTAATCCAGTTAAGATTAGATTACTGTAACAGTTGTTTGTGGGGTTTACTTCAGAACCAAATTCAGAGACTCCAAAAGATACAAAATACTGCAGCACGCATTGTATCGTGGATGAAAAAATCTGACCACATCACCCCAGTTCTACGAGATCACCATTGGGTTCCTGTGAGTGAGCGCATTAACTACAAAATTCTGTCCCTGGCGTACAGCTGCAGCGATGGCTCAGCACCGGAATATTTCAAGGAACTGATTTATAAACTTGTATACGTGAAGAGCCTGCGGTCTTCATCACAGTACTTGCTGAGTGTTCCTAATGGGGATAAACACAGAAAAAAGTCTTACGGAGTGCGCTCTTTGAAGCGATAGCGCCAAAATTATGGAACAGTTTATCTTTGAGGGGAATTGTAAATGACTAAAAATCATTCAAGAAACAATTAAAAACTTTTTTGTTTAAATAGATTTCGGAGGACCAGAGCGCAATGAGCAGGCTACAATGGCATTGGATACCGGCGCGATATAAATATCAAATAAAAAATCTATCAATATTATGTTGAGACTTTTGTGACGTATTTGGGTAAGGGGCAATGACGTTTTAGTTGGTGTTGTGGTGTGGAACGATGTCCTTTGCTGAAGCGTTGGATTTCATGAGTTGTTTTTATAATTAATAAAGAGACTTTTCTTCTATGGATAACTCAATAACTCAGTTTGGAGATGGCTCGGTGGGTCATCGAGCGTGAGCTCTTAAAACCCCCTCCGGTACACCCCCTCACGGGACGGCACCGGGTTTCCCCTCCACCACACCGTGCGGGAGAGCGCCAGAGACCTTCCCCTCGAGCTTAGGGAATGTCCGGTGCCGGTCGACCATACACACTCCTCTCAGAGCGTGGACAGTCCACTCTCCGTGGATCAGAACGGCTTTACTTCCTCTCCGGGGGAGAGGTGTTGCGTTACCCTCTCCCACCGCCCAGGGAGTTGTTCGGTCTAGACGTAGCGTGGCGGGGACGAAACGGTCGCCTAGGAGCGGCTTTCTCAGGGCCGCGTATTTTAAATCCTCGGCAAGGGTTTTGCTGCCACCCAAGCCTCATATCCATTATCGGCGACAAGTAATCATGTTAGTGCGTTTCTTCCGTTGCGTTGGAAGTCATGCAAGTGGCCGGGATCTTTATGCTTCAGGAGTGAACCTCCCTACTGGTCTGCCACGCCGCGAAGAGGCAAGATCCCATGTAACACCACCGAGTCGCCCCGGTGGTGTTAGGCTTCGACCTAGAGGCGTTCGGCCGTTGTCCGGCAGCTTCTATGGATCAATGGTTTGTTTAGTTATTGTAACCTTAGAAAACGAAGCTATCGAACTTGGCAATTCCCGGTTCGTAACACTCAGCTGCCCGGAGCTCTTTGAAGGTTTGGATGTGGGTCTTTTTGAAAAAAATTATTAACCAATCTATAAATCACATTTGATTGATTGGATATTTATATAGCGCTGGTATCCACGCTACTTTAGCATGCTCACTGCGCTCTTGTTTTCTTAAATCTATTTAAACAGAAAAGTTTAAAAATGTTTCTTAAATGATTTTTTTTATCATTTTCAATTCCCCGTAAAAGATTGAGGCAAACTGTTCCGTAAATATGGCGCTGTCGTTTCAAAAGAGCGCACTCCGTAAGACTCTTTCTGTGTCCATCCACACTGGTCATTTTCAGTAAGGACTGTGTTGAAGACCCCAGTTTCTTTAAGGATTATGTTTCTGTAAGGATACATGCGATATACTTAATCGGCAACAAGAGGCTTTTGAAGTAGTTGGATTTTTGGCGTTTCGTGCAGTTGTCTAATTTATGTGAATTTATAAATAATACAAGATTTTACATCTATTTTTTATTTTTAAAATTTTTAAATATAGTTCCCATTCCTTTTAATAACTCCTTGTTGTCGCCCTACAGGTATTGTCCTACCCGTTGGACAGCCAAGGAGACAGGACTGCAGAGTGTCATAAATAATGTTGATTTGGGATGATTTATTTCTACGCCAACCGTGATCTGAATATTATTAGTTGATTGAATCTCAGTCTTATTTTATTTGGAAACAAGGACGTCATTTGGGTAGGGCAGGGTGGGGCATTCCATCCCCCCACCCCGAATTTTCAGGTTTTATTTAGATTTCTATGTACTGTGTTGCCTCCAGTAATAAACAATTCAACAAGCCGACCAAGTTTTGGATCCCCCCCCCCCCCCAAAAAAAAAAACAACAACCCTGAAATGCCTCCCCCTGTTTGGAAATAGCCCCGTTAACTCATAACCTCAAACCAAACGTTAGCTTATTGTATGACGTGCAAGTTCAGTGTGTTTGTGGGGGGAGGGGGCGAGGGGGGGGGGTTGCTCCACCCCGCCCTACTGAAAATGACGTCCCTGCAAAGAGTGTCCACTATTTGAAGTTATACATTTCATAACTGAATGGGACTTCATAGAATCTCTCCCCAATCCTCTAATTAAGTCTACAGTTATTTGTCACGATCTGTGCATCTGTGGCTTAATGTAAGAGGAGCTTTTCAAAAAATAAAACTTAATAATAAGAGCGATTTGCGAAACAGTCCAGACAGTCCAGTCTTTCTGGTCTCAGCCATTTTGTCAGTTGAAAGTGATAATATGAAGAATGAAATGCTAACTCACTTGGCAACTTTGGTGAAGAGATTAACAGGTTTGCATTTTTGTGAAGACCATAACAATGACAATAAAGTTTAAACTGTTCCAGTTAATTTTTCGATAAAAGGATTTTGACACATTTAAAAAAAACAACACTGTTACCTCAAATTCTATATTTTCTTCGTTGGACAAGACTTTATTACTTTGATAAGGCTTAGGTTTTAATTTAAAAACAATGAATACTATAGGCTGTTCTGTGTGTCCTGATTAAGAATTACATGGGGGGGGGGTTGGTATTCCCAATAAAAGGCGGGGTACGGGGTGACACCAACGCTAGTGACAGCTAGTGACGCCTCTACTCAGGGGTAGGTTTGGCATATAAATAAAGTGCAGATCAATGATAATATCTCACACAATAAGATGAGAAAAAAAAACAGACAAAATTATTTGAATGCAATGAAACTTTCTTTGGAATGTTTACAGCATAAGCATATGTTATATTACATTCCACCTCATTAACCATCAAATAAATAAGTTTTGGATATAAAATAACAAATATATTGCATCTTATATTATTTTAATGTGTTACAAATAAGATGTTTATTAAAGTTTTACTAAACTGCTGATAAATAAGTAGATAAAGATATTGCACACAAAAAAAAACAACTTTAACTTTTAACTGCTTCTTTATCAAAGTTCAATTATTAGAAATTCCATGAGCTAGTACAACTATTAATGTAAGAAAATTTAAAATACATGAAACATTACATGATCATTGACTGCAATACTCCAGTTGTGTCTATGTCATTTGTTAAGGCATGCAAGTAAGGAAACATGAAATGTTAAAACTTAATTGACATGCATCATCATAATATGTGATGCTTCAGTGGGACATATCCTTGATATGTCTATATGAAAAATTAAAGTAATGCTTACAATAGAGTTAGTAGGAGCAAAATAAAAAGACCATAAAAAAAAAACCAACAGTGTTTGCAAGGTTCTTTTTTAAAAATAATTTTGTTACACACTTCAGCATCTTTTGAAAATTATGAAAAACTGGAAAGAACCTGCCAAACAATGGCGGGGGCAATGTGTGAACTTCCCATCTTCTAAAGTTACCTCACAAAGCATGCATTCAGGTAATGCACTTAATAAAAATGTATCAGTTAGTAAAAACTTTTGGGAATAAAAAATTGTACTTTGTACGCCTACTGAACACACCATTACTGCCACACAGACACACACATACCAAGTGAATAATTAACTATTTGCGATACTTTGCAAGGGGAAACAATCCTTCATTATTTCTGTGTAGCTTCTGTTGCTTAAATACTACACCAAAAAACAGCATATATTTTCCCTCCTAATTTAAAGCTTTTGTTTAAAAAGGGAAACATTTTATAGTCTGAATACTCATTCACATCCTTGGCAGCAAGAACCATAACCTGATGAAACAGGGAACAAATGATTATTTTTTTAATTAAAATATGGAGTTTCTCAGATTATCCAAACTGATGAACAACATCACTGGTCTGTGTATTAAATTGAAAGAAGAAACCAGCTTTCTACAAATAAAAACAATTAATGTATTCTTCAGTCATGCATATAAATATTCATGTGTGATACACTTTGACTATTTCTTTGATGTCCATCCTACAAATGGGGCATGCATCATGCCTGTCTTGTAATGTCTTTCCACATTGGTAGCAGGTGACCATATGATGACATGGGGTAAACAAGCAGTCTCGCAGCCTATCCATACAAATGGCACAATCCCTGTCCAGGTCGCTTGGAATTATTGCTGAGGCTGTAGCAGGGTTAAAAAGTTTGGCGCATTAATTAAAATTGTTCAAAGCTCATGACTGATTTCAAAATTTAAAAAAAAGATTTATGGCATCCCTTTAAAAAAGCAAATGTGTCTAACATGGGAGGAAAATAGAATCTATTTTGAGAAATATGAAATAAAATACCAGCATTAAAAGTAAATAGTTTATTGATGTATTTTTTGTGTATGGTTTTTTAAAATAACTCTTGGCAATCTAATGAAGTTAAAAATAAGCATTTGACTAGAAAATTATGTGATCGCATTACATAAATTACAATTTTATTTATTTTTTTTCCTACAAAGTTAAAAAGCTTTTAATTAAACAAAAATTTTTAAAACTTGAACAATTAGAGATATACTTAAGTTGCATACTTTAATCCATTTGACTAATGCTAGCAACTGACCTTCATTTTGAAATTTTTGTACACTGTCATTACCAATATGATGTAATGCCGGTATAGAGCGGTCCAGATATGTCCCCACTCCTGAAGAATTTAAGATTTCCTCTTGGCGAGCTGAGAAAAAATAAATTCTATACAAAAGCACACTGTAAGGTACTATCAATATCATTCTAAGGAGAAGCTATATTTTAAATAAATAATGAAATCATCTCTTTTTAAAAGTTATCTCATATAAAATCAAACAAGTTCCAAACAAAACTACTAGCTTTATAATAATACTTTTTGTAAGTGTGGTTTAAATTAAGCACAATAAATGCCATTTGTGTTTATATGATTTATAAATATCAATATAAGATTTTTTTTAAAAAAAGATTTTTCTCTTTTTGATGGAATAAATAAGCTATTCCTTAAATATTACCTTTCTTTCTGTCCTCCCTCTGCTGCTCATTCAGGATTAGAGGCTGTTGGCCAGATCTAAAAAATAATGTTTTTCCCATCCTCTCAATCATCTTTCGCACTGCAAAAGAAGAAAAAAAAGCAGTTGGTAAAATTGAATCTTGGCAAGTAAATGACACAACTGCTGCTTGGTAAATGCTTGACAATTAAAATCAGTTTAACTGACATCATGATACTTATCAAAGAAGTCTAGTAATCCTACATTTGAACAAATCACTGATCACACAAAACAACAAATGAGCCAGTTTCAAAATGCCAGGTGTAGGTTACATAAACAATCTAACACATTCAAATGGTCAATAAAAAAATAGAGCCACTTAATGAGCACAGTTTTAAAAACAGTTTAAGCACAGGAACAAAAGAAGTATCCCACGGTTAATAACACCCGAAGTAAAAACAATTTTCACCTTTCTCAATAACTTGTCCATCTGTTTGCTTAGCAGGACATATTTCTACTTCAGGAATATAGTAGACAGGGAACAGAAAACGAACAGCTAAGGTTCTCTGTAATACAATGATGAGAACAAAGTTACAAAATACCAAGAACATCAAATCTATCTGTATTATAATAGTAGGGAAATTAGGCCTACCTGAATCTTCTGTTCCTCATGCTATTATTTCTTCTGCAAAACATTTTCTTAACTGAAACTTCTTAATTCAACATGCAGTTGAAACCAATATTAAAAAATTGAAAATAAAGTTATTAGACTGACCAAAAAAGATGTGTCACAAAACTTTGGCAGAACAGAAGGTACCGGTACTTTTCTAATTTAATATCACATAAAAAAACTAATTCAATAAAAGGTAATTCTTTTTTAAAAAAAGACAATGAATTGACTTGACAAACAAATTCAAAAGACCCAGTATTTGTAGAGGACAGACACTTGGTGCTTTACTTCTTGGTTCAGCGCCCTCTCATTAATCTGACTGATATCAATCTGCATAGTGTTGCTTGCAATAACAGCATCCTCTTTACAGCAATGGGAGATTCCTGGAATTTAGCACAGATGTTTAAAGAATCTACAGCATGGTCTTACACTATGCTCTTGATCTGGGAACATTATTTTTAAGAAGAGGTTCATCCATGTGTTGGGTGAAACCGTAGACCCTGAATATTAAATTTTAGTTCAGTCATAAATGAAATTGTATAATTCTTTTACATTAGTAAACTACCTTAAGGGTCATCTAGGGGAAGTGAGGATCATGAATTTGTGACCTTGTGAAATAAAGGTGTCTAAATTTTTATAACAAATTTTTGACAGGTGGGGACATAAATTGGTAAAAATAGTGTGACATCATTTATGGACGTCCCATAAACCTAAACAGAACTCATGGGCCTCAGATTCAAATAAAAACTCTTATTCTTGATAGCAGATAAATTTAAAATATTATTTTCCCCCACTTTACATGTGTTTTTATTCTACACAAGAAGGTGTATAAACATTTGGCCCCTGGCAGCAACTTATAGTGGGTAAAACTTACTCTCAAAGAGATCTTGTTTTATTTCTAAATTTTCTGTGGCAACTTCAAATATAAACTCTGCATCTTTTACTGTTTCCTCCAGGTGACTCATACAGAATACTTGACCCTAATTATAATGTAGGAAGCAAGTGAAATACGTGAAAATACAATAAAGAAAAGCATTAAAGCAGATTTTTTTTTTTTTAACAGAAAAAAATAATATACCTAATTTGTTTTGGACCTAGTATCATTCAGCAATACAATCTGCTATGAATAAAGCTTCACCCCAATTGTTTTCAGAAATAATTAATTAGTTTCTTTTAATTAGTTTTAATTCATTTTAGTACTTCATAATTTGAAAGAAATGTCACTTTGAAAAGCAGCAGCTGAACCTTTTTTACTTCCAATTTTGTAAAATGTGTTTACCAAGAAATGTTTCTGTGGAAGCAAACCATCTAGGTAGAGTTGTTTTTTGTCATCTTCCAGAACAGTGTAAACTTTATTTAATGTTTCAACTTTACTGTCATAGATTTTTACCCTGTGCCCATGGTAGGCAAATTCACCTGCATTAAAAAAAAAAGATGTATTAATTCATATTGATACAATAATGTCAAAAATTTCTATATAAAAGGCCTATTACAAACAAATAATCTAGATAACATGATTTCATTTATTTTATAGTTAAAATTTTAGAGTAAAATAAAACATTGATAAGCATTTTTTTTTTTTACTTAGAATTAAGTTATTTTTAAATAAAATGATATTTTATTTAAAACAACAGACATCAAATTTTAATTTTTTTAATTTAAAATTTTTTTTAATTTAAAAATAAATTTATATATTATTTTTACCTGCTATTTTCACACCCATCTGACCTGCACCAATGACAGCTATTTGTACCATGATAAATGTTTTGAGCTATGAAGTTCATTGGATTAAATATTCATAGAGATTGACTAAATCTTTATACTGAAACACATTTTCTAAGTTTGGCTGTGACAGTACTGAAAATAATAACATTAAGTTTTGTGACCATAACTTATTCTTGAGTTAGTTTTTCTGAATGGCATATTTTTTAAGGTGTATTTCTAAGTTTTCTGCTACATTTTCTCTGATTTCTTTTCCCCATCCTATTTTAATTTCATATAAAAAGAAATCTAGTAAATTCAAAACAATTTTCTCTCTATTATGACAATGATGCTTTTATTATGTCTCTCATTGGACATCAAGTTGGCAACATAAGAACCTTTGAGAGGAGTCTGGCTATATCCCTTTTGTAAGAGCAGACACATTTGTGAATGGGATTTCAGTAGAAGTGCCATATATCCCAACACAGGGCCACACCATGATGCGTCCATCCTCCGAATAATGGTGAGTAAGTTATGTCTCTATGAATGCCAGACTGAACTCAAACAGCATGTGCCATCTCATTAACACTTTCCTTGGACCCCCCACCCCCCTGATCTCCAAATCCAGGCATTTTCCATCACTTGAAATGCATTCCTTCCACCTTACACAATCTCAGAAGCACATTAATCAAAAAACATTTCACAACATCTCACCATTTATGACAAATAACATCCCAATACTTATCATTTCTTTAATAAGGATTTCTATTTTAACAAAACAGTGCTATTGTTTCTCTTTTTGTGTCAATGGTTGATAGGTAACTTTTAACAATGACAACATCCTTTTACACAATGAGACAGAGGATGTCACATTAACCATACACTTATTTTTCTCTGTTGTGTGAAAACTTCAAAAGATGAATATGTTGTGTCATACACTTTTCAATTATTTCCTTTCTATTACTTGTGTTGTGGAAAAATGTAACTATCTTGTGTTGTGGAAAAATGTTACTATCAATATCAACCTTCGATGCAGAGGGCACACAACCGAAAAATCGAAGGACATGTGACAGCGCCGCAGTGGAAGCATCCTTATGATCATTTTGAAATCATCATCATCATCGCCTGTCATCCTATCTGGGGCATAGGCCACGAACAAAGGCTCTCCAGGCATCCCAGTCTTGGACAAGTCTCTCCAACTGTCCCCAGTTGTGCCCACTCTTTTTGGTGTCTGCCTCCACTTCTCTTCTTCTTGTTTTGGATTGCCCTCTTTGTCTCTTGCCCTGGGGGTTCCAAGTGAGGGCTTGTCACGTGATACCTGATGCAGGCTTTCTGAGGGTGTGGCCAATCCATCTCCATCTGCGCAGGCCGATTAACTCTTCCACTGGTTCTTGTTGTGTGCGCTGCCAGAGTTCTTCGTTGGTGATGACGTTGGGCCATCAGATTCATACAATCATTCGGAGACATGAGTTGATAAACGTCAGTAGCTTTTTTGAACCAGCTGCTGTTGTTCGCCATGTTTCTGCTCCTTAGAGCAAGACAGGTTTCACTGTTGTGTTGAATACCCCGACCTTGGTCTGGAGGGTTAAGTTTTTGTTTTTTCTTTGTATGTCAAAAATGATTTCTATTAAAGAAAGGAAGGCATTTCCCCCACCCCCTACCTAATTCTCATGTCCTTTTTTAAAATAATTATGGAATAGATTATGTCATTATGAATAACAAATTAAATAGACTCGCATAGACTGCAGACTTATAATTTTAATTTTTTTAAAAATATTTTTTACTGGCATCCCTTCATCACAATGCGACAATGGTGTGACTTGTCAGGATCAAATCACAAGGCCTGGGATTTTTTTCTTTAGGACTATAAACTGGTTCCCTGGACAGCAAATTGCCTCTCTTCACACACCTGGAAAGCCCAAGGGAACACCATATATGGATGATACAGCTTGGTACCAGACTGCGTTGCAAGAGTTGGAGGAATTTTCATTGCATTAATCATGTATCCGCCTACGGGACTCCTTCTCACCGGGTTTTGATTCAGAGTTTCCTTCTCTTAGATGATTTGCCATACAAGGTTATAATTATAAGTTATGTAAAAAATGAGTGTATACAACTAAAAGTTAAGCCTAAGCAAGTGTAAGTGTCAACTCCTATAGTTTCATTGGTTTTTATTAGAGATCTAAGTGACCTAGTCCTAAAGTAAGGTAGGAAAAGGACAGTCAGTAAGTTGAGTAAGGCATGATAAGGTTTTAATTGTTTTACTAAATAGTTTACAGTTTATTTTGAGGAGCCGGCCGCGTTTCAGATGACGACCATACCCAACCCCACCCCTTTTTATGAGCCCCATGACCCAGTTCATTCGAGTTCGATTCATTTGTCATTGTCAACGCACGACCACTGAATTTTAAAAAAACAAAAAAAACAATTTCATTATTTTTTATTTCTATGTCAAACAGTCAAGCCTTGAGCCTGATGATAATGATTATTATATCTAAAACGATGCATATCATCATCATTATTACTAACTGTCTATGTAAGACTATATCCTATTTTCCTATGATGTGTAAACAAAAATATTAGGCAACGCCATTTTTTAGAACAATTTTATACTTTACAATAATTACCGGAAGTATAAACAATTTACTTAGATACCTTACAACTCTTCTGAAGAAGAAGTTACTGAAGGTAGAAAATGTATAACAAAAGTTTAAGATGGGCACTTTGAGCACATAAACTGATGACGAAGACGGAAGCGATACATTAAATGTTGACTCAAAATTTATATTTCGCTGAATGACTAACATTATTTTCAGATTGGCTGTTCTATTGCATCTGCATAGGTATGAATTAGTTTGCAATGCATATATTTTATGAGAATCTTTTGGTACTATAGTAGGCCTACCATACTATTGCCATTGCCAATTCAAACAATTGCACGTTTTGATTCTTTACTTTCCATTTTTCATTATTTTTATTTGTAAGAAATTCGTTGATTGTTATTTAAGTTTTGAAAATTCAAAATCGGTCTAAGTCTAAGTTAATTAGCCATAAAGTTTTTAACTAAGTTTAAAAAATTTAAGTAAACTAAATGAATTTTAGTGAAGTCTAAGTGCAATTCGCAAATAATCATACAAATGCATTGATTGTCATTGAGCAGTCACACTTAAAAAATAAATTATAAAGTAATTACATTACAAATATAAAACACTTGAAGGGAATTGAATTGAATGAACTAATTAATACAATCTTTATGAACTAAATTGAAATCTCAACATTTATAATTTACACATCTTGATTTGCATAATTTCTGCATGCATTTTTTTTTGTACATGTAGAATAAACAAAATTACGTGCAGAACTTTGTTGAATTTTCTTACTTGCGGGGTCTAAATAAGTCCTAACAAATATTTTAATGATATTCAATGTCTAAAGCTCCTTTAAGTATTCCCCTGAGGGTGCTTTGCCTTTTGGTATATTTCAAGGTCACCTATTTTTTAAGCAGTTACAGGGGTCGTTAGGTACAAAAATAATAGCTTTAATACCACTGAATACCGTAAAGCTATCAATGGAAGCTGCCATTAAAATGGCAAGATGAGAAATAAATGCGAGAAGCAATCTAATTAGCTGTTACTAAGACCAGCCAGCCAATCTTGAGCTTGTATTATTTGGCTGATGGATCTGATTTTCATATTTTGTTGCATTTTTTACTCTCAAGACGGTTATTTAATTTCATTTAAAAGTAGCAAATAGGAATGCATCTTGAGAAAAGTTAAACTTAATGTCTTAATTCTTAATTTTCTTCATCAACTTAATTTTTAAGTAAATAACTACTTTAGTAATTATATGTAGGCATGATTAGGCTTAGGCCTAATAACTAGGCATATTTTCTTATAAATTTAATACGACATAAGCTAATGATACGAAAAATACTAAGGATTCTTTGGTGAGTTTCAATGGTTTGTCCTAACCCTAGACCAGTGTAGTCTAGACAACAGAGGGCCAACGTTTAAATAATTAATTATCAATCATTACTATCCTTTGGACTTTGGGTTAGGCATATGTTTATACTATATTTATATTATAAGCTATTAGCTTATAAATATTGAAGCATCCATGTCATAAGTATCCCGTAGACTAAAAACACTAAATTAAAAATAGCCATATACAAAATAATTAGCAATTTGGCTGTATTATTTCATATACATAAGAAATCCGAATACTTAAAAATATTATCCTGGTTATATACTTGCTTAACCATGATAATTATGGATTTCTTTTCTTTGAAATTTCACCCATACAGTTATAACAGTCTAGAAATGAGATGGTTTCAAATTAACAAATAGTTAACTAAGTTTTGATTACATTGAATAAATATAGCATAAGGAATCAGTTAACTGTTAACTGCATTTATAAGTAGAAAATAATCCATTTCATATGACCTTTAATTTTAATATTTGTCCTCCAATAATTTTTGTTGGAACTTACAGTTTCAGCTAATTATTGCCATCAAATTTTTATCATAATGAATTCTTATTTCTACTTCTTATTCTAAGGGCTATGTAAGATGCTAAGTTTGTCATTACTGAAAAAAAAATTGAGAGGACCGAGTCCTACAACTTTGTGATCTGCTTCTCATTACTATTCCTATTTTGATTACACAAAAATCAGTTTAGGTGCATTAAGTTTAATGGAACCAACCCTTGCTAGTTTGCTAGTAATCTAAAGTAAATTCCTTTTTCTAGGCCAAGTGAACATTTGGGAGCTGATGCTATAGTGTAATTTTGCTTGGCTTTGTTAATAAAAAAAATGTCTACCAAAAAGAAATTAGAAGATGCGAAAAAGGCGAAGTCAAAAAAAGAAAAGGAAATTAAAATGGGAGATAATGTAAGTTTTTTATTAAAATATTTAAACTAATTGTCTCAACTAACTCATTTAGTTATTAGCTTTTTATTTAAACCAGTAGTATATGATTTTGATAATGCATGAACCTGGTAGTACCCTGTAGTATTGTGCATTATTTTCTTCCCCACAGCTTTGAGTTTAAATACTACTGATGAAAAGATTTTAACTTTAAATATATATATATATTATCAGGCCAACTTTCTGTTGCTTAGTAAAATTGACCTGTATTAGGATCGTTATTTGTTTAAATGTTTGAGCCTTATGAGCATGTTGTTCTTCATATTTTGTAAATGTGTGACAGCAATGTATATTCTGTATATAAGTATTAATTTCCTAATTGTTTTAATAATGTTTTTAAAAAAAAAAATGACTAAAAGTGGATTATCAAATTAAATGTAAGGTCTTTTAATGTTTATATGATTATTTATTTAATCTGTTCCATCAGAAGTTATCAATTTTAATTGATAAACATATAAAACTACCCATAACACATTGGGACTATAATGCATATGGTAAATAATACTCAAGAACTTAAATGCTATGGGCATGGGAAAAAATCTCCTCATATCCAAGCTGTTTCACTTTTTTTTAAACAATTGTTTTGGCTCCATTTTGAACTAATAAACTAATATTTTTTCTAACACACAGAGTACCAGAGCTTTCTTTCTTTCTTTTTTAACATTTTTTATATTTGAAAGTAATAAAATAAATTCTAACGATGAAACCTTTTTAACACATTACTAAAACAACTAACTCTGCTGTGTCCCTGTGAACTATCACAAAAGAGAAGAAACAAAGAGGGCCCTGATAAAAACCAGCTGAGGATTATAACAGTGAAGTTTATCTTTTAAAGCATTTAAATTTAAAGACATCAATGTTTGTGTTTCTATCACTTTTGTACTGCTTAAATTAATAAAAAAATAAAAGATAATATTTACTTTTTACATGGACTTCATATTTGAACAGTAGCCTAAATAGTAACCTAGGAGAGACACTTAGCTGATAACCATTTCTGTGTATGAAGGAAAGAGGCTAGAGTTAATGTTTCTGTTCTAGAACTTTTCAAGATAAAATGGATGATGGAAATGAGGTGAGAGGCATCTCCAGTGCACTTAACAATTTTGCTTAGTTGTTGTTGTTTTTTTACACCTTAATTACCACATTTATTTACAATTTATTTTTTAAGTGTTCTCAACTGTTGGTCAACTATTTATTGCACTTATAAAATATATGCCAATATTAAATATTCACCATACATTTCCACTAACTTAATTATAAAACATTTTATAACTTTCAGTACCTTTTTACTGCATGGCTTATTTAAAACAATCCTGGTGTGGACATAGATAAAATATTTAGTTGCCCACATACTTTTTTTAGAAATTTCAGCCAAGTTTTTTTAAAGGAAAACTAATGTTTTAATTTGTACACAACATTTGTGAATGAGCTGTAAAGTCATTACAATTTAGTCCTGGGAAAGCTATAACAACTAATTTTTAAATGCTGGGTATTATACAGAGCTTAACATGTCATAAACAGAAATTAATTAAAGCAAGATAACTGTTGCCTGCCTGCTGTTTCACATGTGGCCACCTTATCCTTTCAGGCTTATCTAGGCTTAAGAGAAGTCCAGGATAATATTCATTAGTGTACAGCTCAGATTTATATTGATCCTCATTAATTTAACATTTCTTTTTATGCACCAGCAGGTCTTGGGACACAATCCTTCGGGCTGGGGAATATATATATATATATGGGTTACACCAGTTTTAAATTTTTTTTCATAAAAGAGAAAGTGCCTAGAGAAAAATAACAAATATATAACAAACATACAAAATTTAATAGGCTTTAATAAAGATTATATACTGAGCAAATGAGGAACATTTTTTTTAAAGGATCTGGGATTTGTTTTCGTGAAATTTCCAGGAAATCCAAGGGATTTCTGGCTCTCAACATCATTGATAACGAATTTGTGTATTTTAAAGTTATACTACTGAGAGGATAGCGTAACTGGAAAATAAAAACAACAAAGCAGTTTATTTCGTTTTGCCTTCCCAAAAATTCATTTTGCGCTTTTATTTTCCGAGGAGTTTTAGACCTTTTTGTTTTTCTCATTCCGCCACCGAACTGTAATTGATTTAATTATTAACCGATCAAGCATCTTTACTTTTTGAGGTTTGCCTTCGCAATTTAAGATAATGTCAGGAGCATCAGGATGACTAGGCTGCAGCCAGTGTGGCAGGACTGGGATGTGGAGGGGGCTGCTCCATTAGTTGCAGGCTGTAGCGTAGGATTTTAGTGTGCTGCCTTAAAATTAACTGTAATGAAGATTATGATTTTGTTTTAGTAATAATAGTGTATGGGCCACTTAAAATTAACTGTAATGAAGATTATGATTTTGTTTTAGTAATAATAGTGTATGGGCCACTTAAAATTAACTGTAATGAAGATTATGATTTTGTTTTAGTAATAATAGTGTATGGGCCACTTAAAATTAACTGTAATGAAGATTATGATTTTGTTTTAGTAATAATAGTGTATGGGCCACTTAAAATTAACTGTAATGAAGATTATGATTTTGTTTTAGTAATAATAGTGCATGAGTTGAGTTGAGCCTTCTCGTCCATGAGGGGCATCCACCGATCATCGTCGGCGTCTGCGGTTCCTCCAAGGGCATAGGCCACCTACGAAAGACCTCCAGGCATCTCTATCCTGGGCCAGTTTCTCCAGGATCTTCCATTCATGGCCAATTTTCTTGATGTCTGTCTCCAATTCTCGGCGCCAAGTGTTTCTTGGACGGCCTCTTTTCCGCTTACCCTGTGGGTTCCATTTCAGTGCATGGGCCACTTAAAATTAAAAGATTAGCAGAGGTTCTCCATAAAATACTTATCCAGACTTGAGCATTTAAAAAAAAAACAAAACAACGGAAAAACATTCAGCTCTATTTTGATGTGTTCAGTGAGCCTAGCCCTAGGTTGGGATACTGCTCTATATAAAACCACCTAATAATAATACTAATATCCTATTATGAATTGTGTATTGTTGAAGACTTGAACTTCTAATATTGAAATCAAAGCAGTTATGTTTTTAAGACAGAATTTTCTTTTCGCTTAACTGTAAATTAAAAAAACAACAACAGTGAAACATATTTTTAAAAAAAAAATGATCACCATTAGAGTACTTCAGATGGAAGAATGGACGATAAGAGGGTCGTCCATAAAGGACACCTGCACGCTAGCTTTCTTTTTATATATG